TCATTCCAAAGAGAGGTGACCAAATGGAATGTGGAAAATCATTGGACAATATCTTTGATGTCCCATGTGAGTAAAGTTTTACTAAAGGTAATGCAGAAAACAGCTGCATGCACACATTGACAGAGAACTTCTAGAGGTTCAAGATGGATTCAGACAAGGACATAGAACGAGGGATATCATTGCTGATGTCCGATGGATCTTGGCTGAAACCAGAGAATACCAGAAAGATGTTTGCCTGTGCATTATTGACTATGCAAAGGCTTTCGATTGTGTGGATCATGACAAGCTACGGGCAACATTGTGACATATGAGTATTCCTGAACACTTAATTGTGCTCATGAGGAATCTGTTTATTGACCAAGAAGCAGTTGTTAGAACAGAACATGTGAACACTGAATGGTTTAAAATCAAGAAAGGTGTGCAACAGGGTTGTATTCTTTCACCATACTTATTCAACCTGTATGCTGAGCAAATAATCCAAAAAGTTGGGTTCTATGAAAAAAAACATGGCATCAGAATTGGAGGAAGACTCATTAACAACCTGCAATATGCAGATGATACAACCTTGCTTGCTGAAAGTGAAGAGGGCTTAACATATTTATTGATGAAAACAAAGAGCACAGCCTTTGGTATGGATTGCATCTCAATGTAAAGAAAACAAAAATCATCACCACTGGACAAAATAAGTAACATTCTTATCAACAGAAAAAGATCAAAGTTGTAAACGACTTTATTCTTCTTGGATCAACCATCAACACTCATGGAAGTAGCAGTCAAGAAATCAAACGACTTATTGCATTAGGCAAATCTGCTGCACAAAACCTTTTTAAAGTGTTGCTGATGAGCAAAGATGTCAGCTTCATGATTAAGGTGCGCCTGGCCCAAGCCATGGTATTTTCAATAACCTCATATGCATGCGAAAGCTGGACAATGACTAAGGAAGACCATAGAAGAATTGATGTTTTGAGTTATGGTGTTGGAGGAGAATATTGAAAGTGCCATGAGCTGCCAAAAGAACCAACAGATCTGTGTTGGAAGAAGTGCAGCCAGAATGCTCCTTGGAGGACAGGATGGCCAAACTTCATCTCTCATACTTCGGACATATTGTCAGGAGGGACCAGTCACTGGAGAAGGATATCATGATTGGTAACGTGGAGGATATGAGAAAAAAAGGAAGACCCCCAGAGAGGCAGGTTGGCAGAGTGGTAACATCAATGGGCTCAAGCATGGCAACAATACTGAGGTTGGCCCAGGATCGGGCAGTGTTTCGTTTTGTTGTGCATAGAGTCACTATGAGTCGGTACCGATTTGATGGCACCTAACAACAACAAAGAGAGATGACCCAGCTGAATGTGAAAATCATCAGGCTATATTGTTAACATCACATGCAAGTAAAATTTTGCTAAATATAATTTTAAAATGGCTGCAGTAGTACATTGACAGAGAATTGCCAGAGGTTCAAGCTGGCCTACAGTGGACGTGGAACAAGGGCTATCATTGTTGACATCAGATGGATCTTAGCTGAAAGCAGAGAATACTAGAAAGATATTTACTTGGGCTTTATTGACTATGTAAAGGCTTTTGATTGTGTGGACCATGACAAGCTATGAAACACATTGTGGAGAATGAGTATTCCATAACACTTAATTGAGCTCATGAGGGACCTGTACATAGTCAAAGAGGCAGTTATTGGAACAGAACAAGGTAACATTGAATAGTTTAAAATTAGGAAGGGTGTGTGCCAAGGTTGTATTCTTTCATTAATTCAATCTGTATGCTAAACAGATAATCCGAGAAGCTGGATTGTTATATGAAGACTGTGGCCTTGGGATTGGAGGAAGACCCATTAATAGCCTACAATATTCAGATGATACAACCTTGCATCCTGAAAGCGAAGAGGACTTAAAATGCTTAGATGAAAATCAAAGACCACGTATGGGTTGCACCTCAATGTAAAGAAAACAAAAATCCTCACCATTGGACCAATAAACAACATCCATATAAATGGAGAAAAAAATTGAAATTGTCAAAGACTTTATTTTGCTCAGCTCAACCATCAACAC